CACACACACACACACACACACACACACACACACACACACACACACGGTACCTAGGCAGGCGGCAGCTCCCACCATGGCATAAAGCCCTGGGGTGACGCAGTCTGCTCCGGGCCTGCACCAATTCCTAAAGATGATCCAGTCGTGGTGATGGTAAGCCAGTTGCTCCACGCCAATTCCCACCATCCTGCCTGCCATGGCCCCCACAGCCATGCTGGGGATGAAGAGACCGGACGGGATCTGCGGGGAGCGCAGGGGAAAGAAGCATGAGGGAAGGGGGCCCCGTTCCCGCCGCCCCGCCGCCGGGAAACTCAGGCCCCCCTCGACAAGCTTGCATTTTGCTTCGGTCTTCAAAGGAGGGGCAACGCTTCAAAACATGGGTCACCTGGGAAACCACGGGACCAGTGATTTCACCTGCTTGGTCGTATCTACTGTGACTTGGAAAAAATGCAATTTTATGCTTTCATTTCCTCGCTTTCAAAAGCTGGCCTGGTTTGCCTGCTGTGGATAAAAGAATGATAAGCCCCACTGCAAATAACACTCAAACTGCACATCTGTCACTTGAGATACTCACCACTTTCTCTCTCCCTTCACGTGTCATTCAGATTAGCTTTTAAAATTAAATGTCAAGCCACAGCATGAAAATGGAAAAGCAAGGCCTTCAACTGTTCACAGGTCAAAGAAAGAAGCTAAAAGCATCAGTGCAGCTGCCCTGCATCTTCCAAAAACCTTGGCACGGGCTTACTGCCCTCTTGTATGTACAGTGGCCAAACACCTGTCAGAGAGAGATGGGGGGCAGATCCGTCTTCCTAACAAAGTCCATTTTCCGAAAAGTATTCTGAATATTTTCAAGCCAGGCTAGATGCAGCAAAGAAACAGACCATGGAAACTGAAAGGCCTTCGTAATAGCGTATTTTATATTTTGCTCTATGAAAAACACGTTCATTTCTCTAGTGATCAGACATGTGCTACAAAACAGACTTGACTCTGTTCGTGGAGACTACATGTGACCGCCGATCCTGACCGGGAGCTGCATTTATGTCACCCCTACCCCACCCCCGGCCCCCAGCTGTCATCAATCTGAGGATGCAAGTGGATATTTACCCAAATTCACGTTAAGTTTGGATTCTCGGGTGTGATTTCCAGAGTGTGAGACATTCCTGAGGAAATTGTTCCTTTCTGAGCACCCCTTATCCCCCCGTCATTTAATCCCCTGTAACTTCATAGCAGACTTCTCCCAGCAGGCACCAGAAGAAAATAAATCCCTTTGCATCAGACAGTCACCTATTTAATAACGTTCGTCCTTCCTTGTTCTTAAGGCAAAAATTCAGGTTTGTGTTTGACCACTGCACCCAAGTGCACAGCTTCTCAGACTTTTAAAAAATATTCATTTTTATTTATTTATTTATTTTTTTGGCTGTGTCAGGTCTCAGCTGTGGTACACGGGATCTTCCGCTGCTGTGTGCAGGCTTCTCTCTAGTTGTGGCATGGGGGCTCCAGATCGCGTGGGCTCTGTAGTCTGTGGCAGGAGGGCTTAGCTGCCCCTCGGCATGTGGGATCTTAGTTACCACTAGGGATTGAACCTGCGTCGCCTGCATTGGAAGGCGGATTCTCAACCACTGGACCACCAGGGAAGTCCCTAGACTTTTTTTTTTCTTTTAATTCAGAAGAATACCACAAAAAGCAACAGTCATGGAATACAAGGGGGTTCTGGAGGGTTCCCAGCATTCTGCTCCTGGCCCTGGGTGCTGGTCACACAAGTGTGTATGTTTTGTGAGAATTCACCAAGCTGTACACGTCTCCATATGAATGATATACTGCAAGCCTTAGCTTCACTTGTAAAATGGGGCTATAAATCTCTATTCCATAGGCTTGCTGTTTATCAAAAGCCTTGTTTCTTGTTGATTAAAAGAATGTCAAGTGCCCTGCGCATGAGAACGTTCAATAAGGTCACCTCCCCTTTTCCCCTCGTCACAATCCTATTCTGGGGACTAGGGTGCTATCCCCAGAAGGACAGAGGTTGCCTCCCTCCCCTGACACCTTCCCTCCCCTTCACTTACCTTCATGCCGAAGGTAAATATGGTAATGACGATTTTGAAGATCAGCGCCAGGGCCAGCTGCCACATGGCCGTGTAAACCCCGACCCCGGCCGGGCGGTCGGGGATGTCGTCCACGGGCCGCGTCATGTTGGGGTCATTGATGTAGTCACAGAGCTGGGAGGACTCGAGGGCCCCGCAGTCATTGAAGAGCTCGGATATGAGCTCGCTCGTGCTGCGGCGCGTGTAGGGGTTGGGGTAGGCGACGATGGCAGTGATGGCGGTCACCGCAATGACCTCCAGCACCGGGTACTTCCCCAGCTTGGTGGTTTTGCGCCTCCTGCACCAGGCGATGTTGCAGCGGATGAAGAGGGTTCCCCACAAGCCCCCGAAGACCCCAAGCAGGATGAAGGGGAAGAGCTCGGCCATGTACCAGGGCGTGTGATACTCCACGTAGAAGAGGACGAGGCGGCTGTTCCCAAAGGGATTGATGGATCGCAGCGTGAAGGCTGCCACCAGGGCCGCAAAAAAGGACCGCCACAAGGTCTTCAAGGGAAAGTAGTAGCTGACCTGCGACCCAACGAACAGGTGGAAAATCAGAGACTGGCGGAAGAAAGAGCTGCCCAGAGCCCCAGCCCCTGATCAGCAGCCACCTGCTGGCACAGGCCACAGAGTCACACTCAAGACCAAAGATGGGCACTTCCTCAGCCTAGGTGTGAGTATGGCCCAAATGCACTAACAAAGATATTTAAAGGACTCTGTCTAAAATTGGAACGGATACCAGTCAAGGTGTGTTTGAGCTATTTTTTAAGAGAAATGAGAACACTTTATCATAATTCTGTTTATGGCACAGAGACCCTCCTAAAAGAAAAGAAACCTCCGATTTGATTCTCCAGACAACAGATCATGGGTTGAAACCCCTGGCCCAGCAAATGTATCTGGAGGGCACATGAGTTAAGAATGGTTTGGAAAAAAAAAAAAAAAAAAAAAGGGCTTCCCTGGTGGCGCAGTGGTTGACAGTCCACCTGCCGATGCAGGGGACGCGGGTTCGTGCCCTGGTCCGGGAAGATCCCACGTGCCGCGGAGCGGCTGGGCCGCTGAGCCTGCGCGTCCGGAGCCTGTGCTCCGCAACGGGAGAGGCCACAACAGTGAGAGGCCCGAGGACCACAAAAAAAAAAAAAAAAAAAAAAAAAAGAATGGTTTGTACATTTTTAAATGGGTGGGGGAAGAGAGAATTATTTTGTGACATGTGAAATATTCAAAAGAACAAGACTTAGTGACAAGTAGTAATGATATAAAATTCAAACTTCAGCATCCATAGGGAAGGTCTCGTCGGAAGGCAGCCACGCCGCGCACGTGCGTGTTGTCTGCGGCGCCCTCCACGCTACAAGGGCAGAGCCCAGTGGTTGCGACCGAGCCCTGAGACCCGCAAAGCCTAAAATATTTGCTACCTGGCCCTTTACAGACAACGTGGGCCAACTGCTGGACTAGATCCATTTGCGTTGCAAAACATAAAAACGCTTCATTGTGTTGTTTATGAAAAAGAGAGAGGAGACTGCAAATCTCCCCCCCCCCAAGAAATCACACTGCCAATTTTTCAACAGGACTCGAAAACACATATTTCATGGTGAACACTGCGGCTCCTTAATGAGCTGCAGGAATCTCTCAATCCTCCTTCGCATCTAGTCCTCGGAGGGCTAGAGAGGGAAGCCTCCTGCCACCCCGACCCCCCATGTGTTCCTCGGCGCTCAGAACCACGGGGCCCTCCAGAGCCCACGCTCACCTCTTCCAGACTGAAAAGCACACCCCCGATCGGAGCACCAAAGGCGACAGAGACCCCAGCAGCGGCCGCAGCTGACAGCACCTGCGAAGCAAAGAGCTCCCCGTCAGCCCGAGGCCTTTCCGGCAAAGCAGCGGGTACTGGTGAGCCTGCAGAGGGTGGGAGGGCGCTTCATCCTGCACCCGCTCACCTCGCGCCTCTTGCCCTCGTTCTTGCTGTACTTGGAGAAGAGGCTGCTGAAGAAGTTGCCACAGCAGCATGCCACGTGCACCAGCGGCCCTTCCTTGCCGAGGCTCAGGCCCGAGGACACCACCAGCACCAGGGTGACAGTCTTGATCAGCAGGGTCCACTTGCCCAAGTAGCCCCTGATAATGAAGCCGCTCAAGATGGTCTTTATCTGAAACACAGGATGGAGAGCGACGGGGAGTGAGCCGCTTCAGCGCCAGGGCTAGGAAAGTAACCTCTCCCTCCTCTGAGAAGCATCTTTCAAACGGAGATTCACTAAATCATATGGAGGACAGGCTGCTTTAGTTGTTAATTTAGCTATAATTTTATACTGAGAAGTTATATTAACGCCTAATTTGATACATTAATGGAACCCTGAAACAATTTCAATGCATAGTAAGTCTTAGTAAGTCCGAGAGTAATGAGAGATCGTAAGGAGGACCGAATAAGTAATTATCAGTCTCATTTTATTTATGGCATCTATCCTGTGCATTTTACCCTCTGTTGTGTTGAAAAGATACGTGTATCTATTGATTTTAACTGTTAATTTTTCACTGCTGAAAGATGGCCAAGATAAAGGGACATCTGGCTGGCTATGTGACAAAGCAAATACAACAAAATATCAATTGAACTTTAGATCAGGGTCAGCAAACTATGGCCCATGGGCCAAATCCAGCTGACGGCCTGTTGTGTGACACAAGAGCTAACAGGGATTTTAATGTCTTTAAATGTAATATGTAAACAAGACTACCAGCCTTTTAGTGAGAATAGCTCCTCAATTTTGCCTCTTGACTCACAAAGCCCAAAATAGCGACTCTCTGCCCTTTATCGGAAAAGTCTGCCAGCCCCTGATGCAGGCCAGGGGTATATGGGTGTTCAATTCTTTCGACTTTCCTGTATGTTTGAAAATATTCTTAATACAATATTGGAAAAAGAAGATGCTCGACATTCTAATAACGCACCTCTGGGGGATGTAGGGGTATCTGAATCCATGGCAACCCCTTCCCTTCCGTTGAATCTTGCCCCCTTGTACTGAAAAGTACTTTGACTACAGGTAGAGCTGCCTCATGCTCCACTTTCAGACCTGCGACATTTTGTAAATGCCCAATAATGGCTTTCTCCCTAAGGGTGCACGTGAATTAACGCTTTTAGAATTCAACGGGGTGCCAGTCTCAGTGATTAACTTCATCTACTGGAGTCCTCTTCCCCCAAAACAGGGTTCTTCTGGATACGGAAGCATCACCAATGGGTAAGAAACATTTTACCTTCAACCTCTCCCGAGACTGGCTGAAATGGAGTGAATGTTTACTGCCCGGCTAGCAATTTACGAGCCTGTAATCAGAGATTTATTAGACACTGAGTGAGTCAGCTGATGAAATTCATGGTCAGTATCCGTTTTCGCATTGTATAATACATAATGGGACAGTCTCAGCTCTTGTCACCATGAGGATGTTTACATAACGTCAAAGAGCCTCCTAGTGGGCGCCAAGAAATCAGTTTCTCAAATAGCTATTACAGCCCTTCTCCACCGGCGCTCCGCGGCATCACCTGGAGAACTAGGCACCAGTGAGGACGAGTTATCCCCCCACCCCGAGATCTGGTGTAACTGGTCTGAGGTGTATCCTGGGCATAGGAGGTTTACAGCCTCCCCAGGTGATTCTAAACTGCAGTCCAGGTAGAGAAGCACTGCTCTAGTCCTGAGAAGAGAAGTGCAGGTATTCCTGATTACTCAGTATTTAAGGGCGGCCCTGAAACACTCTTTGGCATCATGTCACCCGTGATGATTTGGAGAGGGTCGTGAAGTGAACTAATCCTAGCAATTTTACAGGGGTGTGACTGGACCATTTTCATCTCAGGAATTCTTGATAGAGATCTGTTTCTTAACTCAAGGAGAAAGACCAACAGTGAGCGAGCGTGTGGGCATCCGTTCGAAAGAACTCACTAAGATCCTTCCTAGAGAACACGAGTGAGGGCTTCCAGCTCTACAATCAGATGGTATTTCTTGAACTAGCCTTTAACTAAAGGCAGACAAACTAGCGGTGGTTAAACTGGTCTTTAACTAGTGCTAGTGGGCCTATTTGAGCCTGTGCTCTGGGGATCTCAGATCCCTTTACTTAAGGGACGTTTTAGTATGCCTGCCACAATCCTGCCCTTTTGTGTTGCCTAGAATAAAATTATCTATAATTTTTTGTCAGTTAGTTAATGTGGATTTGGACCCCAGGGTACAGTTGAAGAGCGTAATACCATTTAGAAAATTACAAGCATCTAAATTACCTGAGCCTTTGCCAGCCATGACATGTGGTGACTTGAACAATGTAAGAGGTATTTTGTAATTCTCTAAAATGACTTTATAAAATCGTCATGATCAAATTAGGGACTGAAGAAGGCAAATTCATTCCCAGTAGATGCCAAAATCCAATCGCTTGCTTTAATTTGGATCAACAGAGACTGAATCAAGCAGGGCTTTAGGGCGATGTATTGCAGCACATTTGTGACTTGACGGTGGTAACTTTAAAACCTCCCTGGCAAATAAATATTTGTGAGAGAGTTCACATTGTATAGAACTGAAACATCAACTCAAAGTAAGTTCTAGGAGACGTGATTACTTTTTTTTCCTTTAATTTATTTTATTTATTTGGCTGCGTTGGGTCTTCATTGCTGTGCATGGACTTTCTCTAGTTGCGGTGAATGGGGGCTACTCTTCGTTGCGGTGCGCGGGCTCCTCATTGCAGTGGCTTCTCTTCTTGTGGAGCATGGACTCCAGGCATGCAGTCTTCACTGGTTGTCTCACGTGGGATCAGTAGTTGCGGCTCATGAGGGCTAGAGCGCAGGCTCAGTAGTTGTGGCGCACGGGCTTAGTTGCTCCACGGCATGTAGGATCTTCCCGGACCAGGGCTCGAACCCGTGTCCCTTCAATTGGCAGGTAGATTCTTAACCACTGCACCACCAGGCAAATCCCTAGGAGGACATGATTTCTTATACGGTCCACAGTGGTTCTATGAATGAAGCAGCTAGTATAGTAGAGTCATCCTTGCCCAGTTCGCTCTAAGTTCTGAAGCCCAAGAACTAGTGTGCACTTTTAAATGTGCTTTGTAGAGCTAATACAAGAGCATTTATTACACAGAAATGGTCTCTAAATTTGTATTTCTTTTAATGTTTCAAAGGAGTTTTTGACACTGGCTGGGACCTGGGACCCTTTGCTGCAGTGCTGCAATGCTTGCACCTGGACAAACACCTAGCAACAAAATACAAAGAAAGTATAAGGGACTAAAAGTAACTGCATGCATGCCCCGTTGGGGCAAATTCTGGACAACAAGGTACAAAGAGACCAAAAAGCCCCACTGCCATTTCTGAAGAGCCGGGAGCAAAAGCAGGGCACTGCACAAGCCCCCTGCACTCAACACCACCAAAGGGGTGGGCAGACCCCCTAAGCCTCCCCTCCGGCCGGACCCCTGGACACACCCCTCCCCTCACCGCATATCAGGAACCGGCTCGCCCTGCCCCCCAGCAAGTAGGCCACAGCAAGGGCACCTGTACTTGTTCTCCCTCCCCCACTGCTGCAGCTCAGGCGCCAATAAAGCCTTGCCTGAATTTCTTGCCTGGCCTCTGATCACTTTCTATTGATTAAGGAGGTCAAGAACCCTGGTCAGTAACATTGTCATCCAAAGTAATCTAAATGTTTCAGAAGCAAACATTATAAAGGATGAGTGATTTTTTTTTTTTTTTTT